CATAAAGCGCTTCATTCGAATGGTTTGCTCGATACATCCATTTATGCTTTAAATGTTGTTTTTGGTCACCAGTCAGATGATAGTACACACTCGGGCTTCTCTGATCGATCTCGATGATTGGTGGTCGAATACGTTTCGCCAAACCGAAATCGTACCTGGCTTGGAGTGCAACGTTCACATGACTTCCCAATCAACTTCCCCGATTGTGGCAGAAAACCAGGCTTAGAAATGCACACAGGAATCGATTTAGAGATAAACATGAACTGGGCTGAATAGTTATCACCAGTTTAAGGTAGGCTAGAGCACCGGGCGTTTCTTCCCTTAACCACAGGGTACAATGATTTGGTGATCGGGCTCAAAAAGGGCATGAATTGTTGCTTCCGTGAGACAATTGTCGCTCCATATTGAAATTAGAAGCACTTGCAGTTAAATCTGTCCACTATCGCATTTCGAAATAAGCACCAATATAATCGCTATGACTGCAGAGTGCAACAAGAATAGCCGACCGATCGTCGGTCGGCAAAAACCTAGGTGAAAATTATTGGGGAGCTCTCACTATCGGGGTCCGATTTGCCAGGAGAAATTTGCACTACTTAGCTGAGCCGCATCTTGCTAACTTGCAAGCTCTCAACGGATGGTTATAGCGTTTTAAAGACCGTTGAAGCATTGGAGATGGCACAATGAATTGATGGGCAGCAGCTGTGGCCAGCGTGACCGCGCGAGGTTGTATTTGCAGCTCGGAAAACGATGACATTTCCGCGCACAGATAACAGAAGGCTATGTGTAGAGAATCACTGAATATCTCTAGGAACACCTAGTATTATCGTTTGACCGGAACTGGAGAGCAAACGACGATAACTGTATTCGTTGTTCATGTTTCCTGCCGTGACTAATCCTTAAGGATCAAATGCACCATCGATTTTCGGTCAAACTGCACGCACAATAGATCCCATTCGTCTACGCTGCGCGGGTTTCCGAGAGAACATGAATATCCGAATTTCAATCTCTTGCGGTCTTTCGCAAACAGAAGCGTATTTTATTGCAGGTGAAACACTGTGGCAATCACGTACGAATAGCCGTATTACATTTATCGATCTGCAGGAACTAATTCACCTGCCCATCTTTGTTCCTCCCACTCCTGATGTGAGAGTGACCTGGATACGTCTCGATCCATTCATCTGTGCAGGAGCGAATGAATCAGTCCGATTTCACGTGACCAATTGTGCAATACCCCCTGCCCTCCCACAGACACCGGCCCTGGCCATTCGTTCGAAGCGTGTGCGTGCCTGTTCGTACATTGTTCAATGTGATTTATTCGACCGGGATGTTTTTTTGAAGAGCATGATGACTGTGGTCGTTTGTGAATGCACAATGTAACGGATGTCGTCGCGTTGTTGCTGTGCTGTTGGTTGTTATTTCGTATTCTTGTCGTCGACACTCGGGGTTGTGCAATCGCCATTAGACTGAATATGCATTAGTTTCTCTGCTCTTGAACACGACGTACTGCGTGGACTCGCCCTCACTTTTTTCCATGGGATAGTTGAGAAATTCAATAAGCACTGGGAAATTTAACTTCAGTTGCATTGTGCCTCGCAATGAGATGTTCCCTAATGACTTATCCAAATGAGGCACACTGTTGAAAACTGCAGTGTACCGTATGTGTGGTACGTATCCGGTAACTGACGAGGATTTTCTCATCAAGAACCGCCCATCAGAATGTTTGTTCAATAAATGCTTCTATGTAAGCACCGGCAGGCTGTTACTGCCGCTCCACTTATTCGTTGAAAGTCCAAAAAGTGACTTCGGCAATCATTGCTTGCAATGCTACTTACGCGTACGCCTGTTCTACCATTGTGAAATATCAAGGTTAGACCTCACAAGCACTCCTAAACAATAATATTTCAATGACGCAACAGATGCACTGTTTCAAGACGGCATTATCCAAAAACAGTGTGAGTATTTTTTATGTCCGAACAATTGTAGGCATGAGCCACCATTCTCTTGTACCTCAGTCTCTAAAGCTTCATCTAATTCATATCTCTCCGAGAATATGGTATTGAATGTCGGTGATCGAGGTGGCTATATATAGGTCTAATCGAAACTGAAGCAACGGGTCCCTGTGAAACACATGTCGGTTCGTATAGGTAACAGCATTTATACTGAAATTTTTTTACAAATAATAAACAAGCCTTGGTGAGTCGTTGTAGATGTGATTTTTCTAATTCGTTTAAACTCAACAGATGAAATGGTTCAGAATGTAGTGAATACTCCCATTTCGTCAGTAGTGGTTGACCTAGAATATGATGAGTTAAGAAGTAACTAAAGAGAATAGAACAGTTTTATCTATAACAAATTAACACTGATAATAATTAAGGTGTAAAGTTTGTGTACACTAATAGTCCATTGGTCTGCCTTTGTTCTTTAGAAATTTTTCGAGTCTCTTCGGCATGGAATCCATCAACTTTGTTATCAAGTCATTTTCTATGTTGTGCTCCATTACGTATCGCACTTTTGCCTCCAATGTATAGGTATCACATTGACCCCTGTGTTAGAAACAGAAAACAGTTTTTCAATCACATTGAGATCCGGGCTATTAGGGTAAAGTTGCGTGGACGTTGGAGTCACGCATCTTTTCTGAAGTCTAAAAGCAAATACTAAGTGAACCAGAATCCTTAACTAAATAAATTTACTAACCTCTCGTGAAACATGACACCGAGCGTTATCCTGAAAAACGATAACTTTTCCAAACGATTTTTTCATGAAATTCTGGAAATATTGTCGTAATTACTAATGCAAATTTCCCACTATTCATGGTTCCTTCGACTAATGTCCACCGACAAGGTTGACCATGTTTTATCCCTGTCCAAGTGAGTAATCTCGACGAATGAGAAACTCTCATTTGGTGGAATAAGTTCTTTTGCGAAATTCTCACCACAAATTACTTTTTTGTGAGCCTTCCAAGGCTCGCACACCATGCACTCGTCGGCGAAATAAACCGATCGCCAAAATGACGCACGTCGAGATTTGAATTCTCGGGCAAAATCACTACCCGCGTGCCTTTGCTGCGCGTTCAATGCTGGCCTGACGTCAACTGAAACCTGACGCATCTTAAATTTTTTCATTCATCTTTGCAGAAGGGAGTATGAATGGCGGGGAAGATCTTCCCATTGGATAGACGACAACGATTTTCTGCAGTTTTTTCAGAGTAATATGAATCAGTTCGTTCTCCTGTTTGGATGTACTCGGTTTACGGCCTCCACAAGCTCTTCTGGTTGTTGTTTTCCTTGGATTATCCTGTAAAGTGTGCTTTTGTTAATTTCAAAGCATTAGGTAAGATTTGTTATCGAAAATCCAGCTTGTGTGCTCGTACAATTCTGTTTCTGTCCTCTTCATTGAGATAACGGGAACATTTGGTTTCGAGCGCTTCTTGCTCCATTATAGTGACAACAATACGAACAATACGAAAGCTATGCACAAAATGACCTTGATTTCAAGGTTGACTTTGATTGAAGCGGTATTTCTCGAATTCAGTGAGTTGGATATCAAACATAGATTATTATTATGAAACCTTATTTAATGCAATATCTCCGGGTTGTGAAAGAATTTCATTTGGTTATCCAATAGAGTTGCTATAATGGATTATATATCAGATAAAATAATGCCCCATAACAAATAACCGAGATGGCAAGAGTTTATGGAAATAATTTGGGATAATTCTTGAGCCACTCCTATATTGCGTTGTCATACTTGATAAAATTTGCTGTTTTCATGTTGAAACCATTTGATCTTCGCACCCAGGCTCAGGCACGTTTGACAATCATGCAGCCTAAAACCTACGTAGATCGAGTTATACAAGAGATAAATTATTGTTCATACCTAGAGCAATAATACAGTTGATAAATATGATGAAACTCCATTTGATCATAAAGAAAATATTTTATTGCATCACGATCGGCCAGTACTGTATTTTGAGCTACAATAGGCTCAAAACAGACTGAAAATCGGTAAAAATTGTAATTCACATCTCTGTGAAAAAGTCATGCCACAAAAATATCTCCTGACCTGTCTGTCTGTCTGTATTCGAATATGGTTGTATCGAATTGCTTTTTAGCTGATACTATCCTAACATTCTTCATTATTCTGTTGTTTTTTTTAAATTTTTGTCCACTTCCCAGATTATGCCGCCTCGTATCCACATGACTCCGACTCTTCAGCATCTGGGGATGTGGTCATCAAACAGAATCAAATGCTTCCAATCTACTGTTCTATCATGGGAATGATTATCATCTCTCTACTCTTGTACGTTGTATACAAATTATGGAAACAACGAGAGGCGATGGCCAGCGCCAAACTTTCCGAGGTATTTGCGAACGGCACCAATGGAATGGATAAAGCATTAATCCGTACACCACCGCCACCCGGGGCCACAAACACCACAAGCGGTCCCAGTCCCACAGTTGTCGCGGTCACTGAAGCGACCCACCCCAGTGGGATGACCAACCTCGGTGCAGTAGAAGGTCATCACTACGATGACGAATTGCATCATCATCATCATGCTCACTCGCAGTGCGGAACAGAAACCCGTTCGCATACGAAACGATCCGGTCATAAAGCACGTGATTCGCATACCAGTACCGTCCCGGAAAAACATCCACTCATTCCAAATGCAAAATCCTCTTCCACTGAACGAGGTGAGTTGGTCTTAAATACGATGTCAATAGTTCAGGCGTGTACTCACTCACTCACTTACTCACTCACTCATTCACTCACTCACTCACTCACTCACCCGCCGACCTAACTTAACTCTTCGTGTATTCTTGTCAAATCTAAAAAAACTGCGGTTTATCCGGATTAAACTGATCTAAAATATCCTTGAATCGCTAATCTGTTCATGATTGAACGTGTGTGTGTCAGCTGAGCGGTATCGAATAAATGGGTTCCGCTACCAGTATGATATCACATAACCAACGCCACATTTGAGAATTGAAACCCAAGTGACGATCAGTCGTGAATGTTCATGACTGAAACCGGTAGAGCATCATATTATTATATCCCGTGCAACCAGACAATTCCCCAAACTCAAGTCGACCGCAAGATATGGCCACCATGAACTGACATGATGGCTCCGGGATTGTAGGATACTTCTCAGTTGAAGCAAAAAAACCCGCTTCTATATGTACGACTTATGTAAAAGGTTTTCACGCCATATTTAAAAACCAGATTCCGAAACAGACTACTAGTGAGTAGAAAAGTTAGCAGGGTCACAAACGCGTCGCATACTAACCTTGTACATGGTTGAAACAGCAGATGATTACATACAGAGAGCACAGATTAAATACAATAGTAAGGCGGAAAAGCAATTTGATTTGGGTAATCTGTTAACACCAACGAGGCAGATGATGTCACACGCTGAAGCATGACCAACATTCAAGTCATGGATATTACAAAGTACACACCAGCCTCCAGGATTCACTATTCAGAGTTGTACCCTTGATCACACGATCAATGGGCCCAAGAATGACTAGGTACCATGTGCAACCACAGGTGCATGCTAGACCGGTGGTTGTGAGTATCGAGTCACACCGTTGGTCAAACATGCAATGCAAGGTGTCTGTGTGTGTGTATGTGTGATAACTTCTCTCTCGCTCATTAACTGAAACTCGCCCAGATAGAAGTCCTGTCCGCTTTCTGGTGTACTTTGCCAATTATGTGAATCGGGCATAGCCATGTGGTGAGACATAAGCATCATTCTTCGGTGGAAACAACAATAACGGAAGAATCGGACCGCAATGTGTCCCCGGATTCGCAAGCAAACACTATCCCAGCAACGTCAATTTGGTTCACGAAACTAGGTCGATCAAATCTCGGTTTCATGTCGATCGGAGTGATTGGTACGCTACTTAAATAATCTGTAAATCATGAATTTCTAATTTGGGCAAGTACCATGAACGGATATTGTCTAAGCATTACCGCAGTTGTATTGTATTATGTAACAGTTTTGCAAGCACTGGAGCTCAGTTAAAAATTCATACACACCAATCGTCTCAACAGAGAGAAAATTACAACAGACATGAGGACATTTCACAGTCCAAGGTTAAGACAAAGTTCACTTATTGCCCTCCGTTTGTTTATGAGTAGACGAGCAAGATGCGGTATGGGTGAATTGCGGTATGCGTTAATTCGAGGCGACATTTGGCGGAATTGGGAGCGTGTGGAATGATGGGAACGACAAAGTGTCAGTTCTGCATGCAATGGGTGGTCCGGATCTGTGAGAATCCTCTCTGCAACTTTCACACAGGAAGTTATGTGATACTCTGAAAGCTTTACAGCCAACTCATTGACAGGAACAGAAGAGACGCGGCTACTAATAATTAGACTGCGGAGTAAAACTTTGAAATCTTGTTTTAGTAAGCCAGAAAACATAACTGGGGAACAGTAGAGTAGGATGGGGAAAACAGGCTGATAGAGAAAGGTAGAACTAACTGGCTGGGATCAGGGAAACTGCCTCAGCTTTCGAATTAGAAATGAAAGGCGCCGCAGTTTACCAATGCAGTTGTGGATGTGGTTTGACCAATAAAAAATGTTACTTATGATTACATCACGATAAAGAATTGTTATTAATTACTGTGTGGTCCGTCGGATATGCAGCGCGAGCAAACCCATATAAACACTCAACACATTTACTGGGGTTTATGGTCACTCCCGATAAGGTGGAGCATGACTGAATTTGATCAAGATTGTCGGTGAAGGAGCTTGGATCAGAGTAAGAAGAAATGGGTAGGCACGGCACAATGTCATCTGCATATTTCAAAATTTGCGCAGGAGAAACGCAGGGAATATCACAAATATAAGTGGAAAATAAGTATGGGCATAGCAAAACTCCTTGAAGAACGCCGGAGTTGTTGACTAAGGGTTTAGATGAAGCCTTCTCCAATCTATTAGTTTGTGCTCTATCAGTAAAATAGTTTAATAGTTAAGCTAACAACTGCTTGGGGCATTCTAACAGAGTTGTTCAAGGGTTTCGTGATAAAATGAATAAGAGTGGAGACTGCATCCTAGGTGGATCTATTAGGCTTGTAAGCAAACTGTAACGGATCACTGAGATTGTTTATAGACTGCTGAAGACGTTTGCGGATAGCCATTTCAGACAATTTAAGAACTAAAGATGTTAATGTTATGGGACGATAGAAGATTTGGATGCTTTGGAGATCGGTATGATTGTGATTGGCCTCCAACAGTCACGGATAGTAGAAGTGTTAGGAGATTCATTGATAGTGGAGCAGGTTGCCCCAGCAGGGAAGCAGCACTAAATTTAAAGAGGGCTGGGTGTAACCCATTCTAGCCTGCAGCAGAAGAGGAATTGCAACTATTTAAAAGTTTTAACACACCTCAATATGAGAATGGTTCCACATTACAAACATTATGTGACGAGTAGGCAGGAAGAATTTCGGATGACTGACGCAGGTATGAGGCACTGAGATCATCAAAATCCACATCCAACTTCGACCGTCCTTTCTTCCTTCCACGGAGAAGTCTTATACCTTGCCACAGGTTTTTGCTGTTTCCAGTCCTCAAAATTCGATCAGAGAATAATGCCTTCAATCGTTTTACTTCAGCTTTGATAAGCCTAGACAAATACCTGACAGCTGAAGACTTGTGAGACTTGTACACACGTTCCTTTTTGTGGTCACAGTGACTTTAGTAGGGGAGTGCTTATGCTTCCGTTGGATAACTATAGGCTTTGAACGGGACAGCAGTAATTATATATGACATTGATTGTTTGGGTGAAAAAGGGAACACACGTGAATGGAGGTGGAGACGATGAAAACCATAAAGAGGCCTGCCTGAGAGATTCAGTGGGGCGAGAAACACTTGTAAGTGAAAAGTCACGAAAACGAAATCTGATGTGGTCAGAGCGATAGAAAGATTTGTACGCACTGCGTGAATAAATCTTCGGTCAAACTAAGAGTAAACAGTGGTCGTTGGAGGAAATAGGTGATGCTCTTGCTAAGGAAAAAAGGGTTGGATGGTTGATGATTGTTCTGTTCAGTATAAATTTACCTTTTGTGAAGGAGTGACAAAAATCTGTCATACCGAATCATAAAAAAGAGGATAAGTACTAGTATATGGGGTAAAGTCGCCAACGATTGTGTTCGTGTCCACCGAGTCAACTGGAACGCGAACTTAGGTACTAGTGGTTAGCTAACGAGTCTGAGTGCGCAGCTTAGAAGCTGCTCGAAACGTGGTCCGTATAGTATTGTCCGCTTGTCATGTGTTCTCCTAGGATCTATTTTTATGTGTTGATGTTGGTGAGTTCTCCGAGTTTGAATTGTTGTTCGCAGACGTTTCGTAGCCAAACTAGGTAACATCATTATCCCCGGAGTTGCACTGATGATATTGCCTAGTTTGGCTACGAAGCGTCTGCGAACAACAATTCCAGCTCGGAGAACTCCCTAACACCAACATCCGCATCCCGAGCTCCAATCATTCCACAACTATTTTTTTATCTGCTTTCTCTCCCTCTCTCTTTCTGTAATTCCGCTTGCCGAACGGGCAAAAGATATCAACCAGTGCTCGCTAATTCTATGGCAACCTGTAACCAATGTACATGATGGTACATTTAAAAGAATCATTGTATCATTAAGTTGGCTTATGTGAGCTGATTGTAATAAGAACAATTCCGCTGTAAACTATCTGTTTTTAACGATGATTTATTTACCGGTGCAGATGCAAATAGACGAGGACAGTCATCTTGCATTTGATTAGTTTGCCAAAGCTGTTCTCTGATTGGTCAGCTATGAAGACACACGTTTGAACGTCAACAACCAGTTTGTTTCACCACGTGATTTTTCGTTTTCACTGTAACATCACTTGTTTTGATGTCTGCGACCGCGGATCACGTGATTCCTCATGGTCCCGCTCCTAAGTGAGCTGAGCGGCCTTATAACAGTTAGTACTCACGCACAACCTCACGTGTGTGTACATAATATTATTGAAAACTGCTGGTTGCGTTGTACACTTGCAACTATTATCTTTTCATTAATACAGAAATCAAAAAGAACTGATTTCGTCGAGATAAACTTTACAGATCTTATTCTGTTTTTAATTGTAAAAAAGCTTCAAGTTATTTTCTTGCAACTGCCTTATGCTATCTCTTTTCCCCACTTGAATCCCAATTTCTTCCGACGAACTTACAGATTATTTGGAACAACCAGTAAATGTCGTTGTGCCTCAAAACACATTGGGTTTTGTTTGCTACAGTCTGGCTCAAAACGGTTGGCGAGAATTGGCTGTTACCACGGGTAAGTCTTACAACTCTGTGAACTTTGCCTCACATTCTCCAAACGTTGAATACATGTAATTTTTACGAAGTTCATCATGTATGGTTGATCAAATCGACAGTCATCCACAGTTTTGAGCAAACCGTATTCCTATGACGACAATATCGCGGTTGAATGATGGTACACACTGTTATCACCCCACCGACAAGAAAAAAGTGATCGGTGTTTGATTTCCACCGCTGATTGCCAATTTGCAGGAAAGTATTCAGTACACCACGAACATGCAACCTTCTCCCCCGCATCTGGTAGATTCGTATAATCATACGAGTTCTCTAAGCCCCTCTATTGTGTTTATTGCATTTGCTGATTTGCACCGTCCCGGCTGGGGCAGTGAATCAGTCGATAAATATTTGCAAAGTTTAACAGTTAATCGGACACCCTGTTGTTTACATCACGGAGGCAGGAGTGTATTTGGTTTCCGCGCCGTCCTACTCCTAACAACTACTCATGAGTAACCACACACTACATACATCAAGTCTTTGAACAGGCAAGTTAGAGGACAAACACTGCGAGAGGAATTCCTGTGCGTCCAAAAGCGTATGACCTTTACCCTTGGCCTTCCCTGGTTGTAACCAGTCACATGCATCACGCACACACACTGTGCACAATTACACACACGCACACACACATGGGCAATACTAACTAGATTTCTTAATTCGCTTCATTTGTCTATCTTGTTCAATGTTATACGTACGCGACCGATGAGGGTAAACGAAAGGAATTCCTCTCGCAGTTTTTTTCTGACTTGCCTGTTCAAATTCATTACCACATCAAGTCTTGTTTATTTAGTTTACCGGTACCAATTTGAGCTTCATATTTGTTTGTTCAAATCCGTACCGTTCCCGTAAAAACTAAAATGTAATATATCGGGTGGATTTTTCCAGGATTTAATTCAACCGATCTCGATCAACTGGATCAACTTACATCCGAACAACGAACTCCTTGGCCTCTCCCGGACAACTTACTTCAAGCCGCGCGGGACGCCAAATCACACGAGTCTGGAGCACCTCATTCCGAGCTCGAGCTCACTCAAGCTGTGCTTGTTGTCAGCAAGCTGTTGGAACAACAGGACATGACTTTTGGTACATTTTTGACCGCGTTGGGACAATCCAATCGATCCGACTTGGTAACCATGCTTGCCAGCACAAACGGATCGTAAAAGCACGATATTTCCCTGCGGTTATTTCTTTGCCCGTTTGTTTGTCCCCGAACAAACAAAACCAGTCCCGAGAATTTAGCCATATAACCGAGTAATTCACTTGACATTATAAACCCATGAGAACAAGTATCAGCATGTTGTCTCATGGGTCTCGAACTGATATCGTTGCTGCATGATCAGCGAATCAGGTGCTATCCGAAATGAACAATTCCCTCGTACACATGCTCTCTCTCTCCACCGCTATGTGCGACAACATCCCTACACACATATATATACACACACACCAACACTTTCTCATTTTCGATGGTCGAAACATCCAGTTTTGGGGTGTTGTAAATGGATAATTTGCAATAGAGAGACAGAGAGACGGAGGATTGGGAGAGGAACCCGAAAAGTCCGGTCCGACATATGAACTAACTAATCGCATTTCAATCAACGTCAATCAGCATCAAGTACCCATGAAATAAACTGCTCTCTCCCCCCCGCCCACCTCGTTGTCCACCTCGCCTGCCCAACCCTGCCCCCCGCACCACTTTTTTCAATTGTTTTGTTTTCTTTTCCGTTTTGTTTTGTTTTATCTTTTCTTACGTCATTATTGGATCATCCTCATCCTCATCCTCATTATCCAGTTCATCCACGGCTTGGTTCTTCATCCTCATCTCTGCACACGCGCTCCGATAACCACACAGGTGCCGCGAGACGCATGTGCATGTGTCTGCCTGCCTGTGTNCTGTCCGCCTGTCTGTTTACAGCTTGACTTTGCCGCCAGATCAGTGCGGTATCCTAGCCACAAGCGCCTTTTTGCCGTTCCGATATAATGTATATCGCACTATTGTATCTGAAACTCACCCATCTTAGTTTGATCGAGGTTCATCGCTTGAGACCGGAATTGGATGCAAAGGGACCGGATTGATAAATAGTCACATTCAAACTCCGGCACATCCCATTCATTCATTCATTCATTCATTCATTCATTCATTTTGCCCTCGTTCTCTCACGTGTTCCTCGGTGCCCAAACGAAACTTCCTGTTCCCATTTTTTGCAGTTGTTTTCTTCACACACACACACACACACACACACACACACACTTGATCTGAAACACTCCTGAAAAAAAGCCGGTGACTCGACCCGATACTTCAGCTCTTCTTTTTCGTG